GGGCAGGGGGGGGGGGGGGGGGGAACCTATTAATTGTGAGTCTTTTTTATTTTCACTTACTCATGTTTCTGCAGCATGCTAGTCCGCCAGCTAGGAAACATTAACGGACGAAGAAGCGTTTCAACTAACTCGCCTCCAGACTGGGATGTGTTGTATTCTGCATCGAGAACAAAAAAAGAGGAACTTATCGGGTGACCCGTCAAGAACGGAGATGCCTCGGACTTAAGTCATCATACCGATCAGATAAGGCTTAGTGGCTTGGTTTCCCCTCTCGTTTCGGATTTCATCATGATAGCCATGCTCTATTACCTGGCATCGTCTCGCGCGCGTCATAGTCGCGCAGCGCAGCTCAGATATGCTTTCCATTCAATCACCACTGATGCCACCTTTCAATCTGATATAAAAATAAAAATAAAGAGAAGCACAAGGCTAGGCTGGGGCTACAAATGGAAACCAGGTGACCGGAGAACCGGTCGAGATGGTATTCTAGCCTTCATCTCTGGAAAACCTTAGGGTGTGAAGGACAAGCGTGCGGATGGCCACTTGCCAAAGGAAGATGGTGTGCAGGGTTGAGCTTAGCTTTAAAGGCTCCTCACGACTGACATGGAGGTGATATAGCCCAAAGTGCTAGGGAGGGAGGTCAGAGACAGGGCACCAAAGATGGGTAGCAGCGACTGCGAGGATGATTGAGCAGAAAGTTGACGGAGTGGCAGACCGAATGGCTCTTGGTTGTTGATGCTTCCGACATGACGAGGGCGATTGGCTTGTGGCATTACATTCATGACGGTGCACTGGCCAGGCTGCAAATCATGGGTTCATCGAGGACCCACCCAATGACGGACTGCTGCCTCTGGCAGAACATGAGCATGGCATGGCCCTACTGTTGGTCCACTGAAGGCGGAAGAGGGGTGGGAGGGGGCGAGGCCTGCCTGGGGTGCTGGGGAAGAGGTAGGGTTATGACAATGGTGTGGTGTGGCAGACGGCGAGGGAAGAAACAGCCGTATTCCCTGCTCGTAGAAGGAGTCTATGCTTACCTGGTCGCAGCTCTGTGTGGGCAGTCAGAAGAGGGCAGTCGAGACAAGGGACGAAAAGGAATGAGTGAGATGGAGGGTGTGCGGCATAGGTGTCCACACCTCCAACAAGTAGTTTCTCTCCGAACGAGCCGTGCCAGTGTAAATGCACGGCAGTAACCGATGGGGCTATTGATTTTATCCTAAGCAGTCACGAATGAACAGACCAATCTGGCCGGCAAACCCAGCATGCCGATGGGTATAGGGAGTTGTCGAGCAGATGTTGTAGCAAGCCAGTGATGGCTATTGGGGTTTGACTTTGGTGGCTTTGCCTGACGTGAACCAGCGGGTTGGGGGCGGTAGTGTTGACACAAGCTCTGAAATGGCTGGTCCATTTCGAGGACGTACCCTCCTGCACTGCTGGCCCTTGCGTTCAAGGACGCTTGGAAATGATTGATGGCCATGTTGTTGCCGATGGTGGTGAGGTGTGGTGTACAGTCAAAGCTGCAGCCTAGTGCAAGAGGGTGGCTGTCAGTCGAGAGGAAGCCGCCGTAGCGGCACCCAATTGTCTGGGAAAGGGGCGATAACTGTAATGGATGGGAGATGGAAAAAGCCCCAGGGAAGCTGTAGTTCATCATGAACGGCTGGGTGTAGGCCTCTACCTATCTGAGGCTCGGGAACCCACGTTTTATGGTGCTGACTAGAGCTTTTTTGCCAGGGCTTCAAAAGTCTGTGGGCGGTTGGGCTGGACTAGATAGCTATTGTGGCTGGCTGGCTAGCTTGCTGGGTGCTTGGTGGATCGGGAGCCATAAGGTGGAATCCGGCCGGCTGGAGGAATCGAGCGCAAGTTGAAGGCGGGTCAAAAGAATCGAGAGAGAGAGGTTTGTTTTATCCAGTTGTGGCGTCGAGTTCACATCTACAGCCTAGTTTGCTGGTGTTGTTTGGCTACTCTTTTCTAGGTCGTTGTATGTAGTAGGGACCGGGACCTTTGGCTGGGACTGGGCATTGGGAGATGGGTGGTGCGGTACTCTCTGTAGGCCACAAGGAACTTGGTGGACTGGGACTGGCCCGCTGTGTTTCCTTTTTTGCACTGCGGGAGCTACCCTTGAATCCTTGCTACCCGCTCTTGCAGCAAACCAAACGCTCATCCATACCCCATTCCCTTTCCCCATACCTACCATGTCATGCCATGCCATGCCCATGCCCCCCCCCTTCCCCCCATTTCGTTCCATTCCATCTATTCCACTTAGGACCCCTTGAATCTCGCCCATCACCTTCCCCCCCATCTTGGACTGACAGTGCACCCCCTTCCCCCTCCTTCCGTGCCCAACTTGCAGGAGAGCATCGCTCGTCTCGTTTCTTTTTGGGGAAGCCCATCAAGAGGACAGGCTATTCCGATCTCAGTCGCTTCTCGTTCGCAGCAGCAGCTAATGTACGAAGTGCACTCGCGCGTGTCTTGCCGCTGTGGAGCCGCGACCACCACCACCACCACCACCATCCCCAGCCCATCATACATATATATGTAAGTCATTTGTGGTTCCGCATTTTACTAGCCACTCGTTTGTGATGGACCACCAGCGAATCCCGACAACATCTTCTGGCATTCTTAGCTGCTCTGGCGTGGTTGTGGGGGTTTTTGGTTGGCCGCTGATTTACAGTCTCATCTTTTCCTTTGTCATGTTCTACATATATACTGGCGCCGCATACTGATGTACACTTCCGGGATCAATGACTGCAGATACCTCCAACCCCCCGACGTCATTCATCTTAACCATGTGTTGTCTCAGGATGGCTTTTTCCATTGAGTCGTTATCCATATTCGCTCCTAGACATCGGATCACCTGCAATGCTCACTCCTCATATTATCTGGTTTCGCGAACGACCATGCGTAACACAGCCTACCATCGCTGACGTCGTCATTGGACTTAAGTTCCGTTGCGACAGGGTAACGGTCAGTGGCCAGCTACATAGGACGGATCTTGACCGCCATACACAGCACGGTGCCCGTCGGAACGACGAGGAAGCGAGAAAGCGAGTTTTCCACCCCTCGGCACCCCTCGGCACACAGGCAATCCTGCTCGGCCATGATGCCTATGCAACTACCGATTGAAGAAATTGTACCTGACAACAACGGTAGACCTTGCTGACGTTGTATCTGCAACACAATAACCGCCCCTGGCTGCAATCCGCCCTCAGTGGCGCAACCTCTGAAAGGTGGCTCAACAAAGCCGAAAAGCACTTCTAAAACAAACAAGTTTGGCCATCCTCCAAGATTTAGCTCCCGCCTCCGCACTGATACTCTTTGGTCATGGCCAAACCCTAGCCTATGCTGTCTCATCTTCATCCTTCTTCTCGCACCTTATTCAGACGACGGGCACTGCAGGTGCTTTACACGGCGACAGAGCTGATCATTCATGCGCTGACTCGTATGCGGCTAATACAACGGCTCTCGAGCCTCCCGTCACTTTATCGACCGATGTTTATCTTCGAGACTGCAGAAGAACATGCTCCCAAAAAATTTCAGGGTCTCCATTTGCATGCCCCTGGGGCTAGGCTCTACAATGCACGTCGACTAGCTTTCCGACTTCGGTCTGCCGTGCACATTCGACAACTGGCAGCAACTGCTTGAGGCTGAAGTAGCTTTTTAATTCTACCCAGTCCCCCTTTATTGGGGAGTTATCTATTGGTTTGAGCCCATGTCTCATCCTCTGCCGATAAAACTCTCACTGCGAGTCGCTTCTGTCTCCCTTCTTCGTGACCAGGTGCTACGGAGATATCAGCCCAACCTGGTCCAAGCGGAAGCCCCCCTTCTCTATGCCTACAAGACTAGGAGCGGACAAGCACAACAAGATGCGACGCTGATGTGAAAGAGGGGTGTCCCCTTCATGCCTGGTCTGCGCGCAGACATCTGGGCTATTTGGCCGGGGTCCGCCTATCAAGCAAACCGCTGGTATAGCCAAAACCTCAGGTGAAACGGCTTCAATAATCATAAAAAGCCAAGCATTGTATTGATAAGCAGCGTTTGACGGCGAACAGACTTAACAGAATCCGCCCGCGTTCTTCTGTCTTCTCCTGCCGTCTAGGAAACAGGACGGGCTGCATGCTGCGTGCGGAAAGACGGACTATGAGGGGTGGAGGTTCTGCGACACGGGAACTTGTTTCTTGGTGGATGGGATGAAATCAGAAGCCTTGTCTCTGTGCGACCACGAAGTTTCTCCGGGGTAACACGCATTTTCCGCCATCTGCAGGATGCAACCCGCAAGAGGGGAGACACAGATATTTGGGAACGATGCGGTGTAATAGTCCAGTGGGGGGGACACAATTCGGAAGTCCGGGGATTTGTATTGCCTGAACGGTCGAGGCTCTACTGACACTGCGACTTCTCTTGGTTCTGAAGGATCCAATCATAGTGGACAACGAGTATTTGCCGCCAGTTAACTTCGTATGATATGTAAGTAAGAAGGGGGGCCACCAGCGCGGTCATATCCTTGTGATATGAAGCTTTTGACGATCTCTGCAGGCTTGTCTCGTCTCAGTTCCTGTTAAGAATCGACAGACCACTCAAGTAATCCCATTTTTTGCTTCCGACGAGGCTGCTACTGTAGCCTATGGTGCTTTCTTAAATAAATTAACTGGTTCGAGAAAAAATAAAGATTAAAACCACCCCCCCAAAAAAAAAAAAAAAAAAGCCGCCCTCGCCGAGCTGCTGGGTGGTGCACCAACAAATCTCGGGATACACAACAGGATGCAATGTGAAGCTAGATATGTAGGTAGGTGGGATGTGCCGGCGAGGTGTTATCGCTTATCGATAACGATAAGTGACTGCAAGCGCCACACGCGTGCGTCTGATAGGTTTGTCAGCCGCCCCGCGCCTCACTTCAATCAATTTTCATCATCGAAAAGCCCATCTTAAGAGGCGACAAGAGACTCAACGCCTACACCGCCGGCTCACCTGTATAGATACGGCAACACATCGGTATAGAATCAAAAATGACGAGTCTCAAACGATCGCTTGAGGCTGACCCTTTTGCCGCCAACATCTCGAGCAAGGTCTACGTTCGTTCCACCAGAAAGGGAAAGGTACAGAAGATTGTGAGAGAAGTCTACCTGCGTCAGGACATCCCTTGCTCGTCGAAGCTGTGCCGGGCCTGCCTGCAAACTGCTCCCCGAGATGCAGCCAACAACGGTGAGTGTCATATGACTCACATCGATATGAAATCCATACTGATGAAAACCTTCAAGTTCAACCGTTCGTCCTCTCGGACAAGCCTGCGGGGACAAAGGCGTTTCCCCAAGGACACTACATCGTCCCTGACACTAACGCGCTCTTGAATGCCATGGACCTCTTTGAGCAGAGCTCGGCATTCTACGACGTAATCATACTGCAGACTGTTCTCGAGGAGCTGCGTAACCGTTCGCTGCCATTGTATAACCGCCTTGTCGGCTTGACCAAGAGCGAGGACAAGCGTTTCTACGTCTTCTTCAACGACTTCCGCCTGGAGACGTACGTCAACCGCGAAGCTGAAGAGACCGTCAACGACCGCAATGACCGTGCGGTACGCAAGGCTGTCAAGTGGTACGCTGATCACCTAACGCAGACCAAGGCCAAGAAGGTTCCTGCCGTGGTAATGCTTAGCGACGACCAGGATTGTTTAAGAAAGGCTAAAGCTGAGGGTGTAGCTGCCATGTCCCTTGCCGAGTACGTCGGCGGTCTTGAGGATGGTGAGAGGTTACTGGATATGGTTGCTGAGTCACGGAACTCTGGGTTCTCTAAGAAGCCGGCCGGGCCTCTGTACCCCGAGTACTACACCATGTCCAAGATGATGACGGGTGTCAAGGCTGGACTGCTGCACCAGGGCAACTTCAACGTTTCTCCTTATAACTATCTGGAGGGTTCTATTCACGTTCCCGCGTTCCCCAAGCCTTTGATTGTACTTGGAAGAGAAAACATTAACCGTGCTGTCAACGGAGATGTCGTTGTTGTCGAGGTTTTGCCAAAAGACCAGTGGAAGGAGCCCTCGACCAAGATCATCGAGGAGGAGGCTATCACGCGCGATGAGAACGCCGATGGCGAGGCTGAGGAGGCTCAGGACTTCGTGTCTGAGAAGGAACGCAAGGCTCTCCAGGAGGAAGTAAAAAGGACACAAAGCAAGAGCACCGAGGGTCGGGCGCAACCAACGGCAAAGGTTGTTGGCATCATCAAGCGCAACTGGAGACAGTACGTTGGGCATATTGACCCCTCGTCTGCTAGCAAGAGTGGCGGCCAGGGCCGTAAGCAGGACAACGTCTTCCTCATTCCTATGGACAAGCGCATTCCCAAGATCAAGCTGCGTACGAGGCAGGTAACTGAGCTCCTCGGTAAGCGTCTATTGGTCACGATCGACGCGTGGGAGCGAGACTCTAGGCACCCCATTGGCCACTTTGTTCGGTCTCTCGGTGAGCTCGAGACGAAGGCTGCCGAGACGGAGGCACTTCTCCTGGAATACGACGTGCAATACCGCCCATTCCCCAAAACCGTGTTGGACTGTCTACCGAAGGAAGGACACGACTGGAGAGTTCCCCAGAGCCTGGAAGACCCTGGCTGGAGGGACAGGGAGGATCTTCGCAAGCTTTTGATTTGCAGTATCGACCCGATCGGTTGTCAAGATATTGACGATGCCCTTCACGCCAGGCCGCTGCCCAATGGGAATTTTGAGGTGGGCGTCCACATCGCTGATGTGTCGCACTTTGTCAAGCCCGGCAATGCCATGGACACGGAAGCCAGCCTGAGAGGTACAACCGTCTACCTCGTGGACAAGCGTATTGACATGTTGCCCATGCTTCTTGGCACAGATCTGTGTTCTCTGAAGCCTTACGTTGAGCGATTCGCTTTCTCCTGCATTTGGGAGATGAATTCGAATGCCGATGTAGTCAGCGTGCGCTTCACCAAGTCAGTTATTCAGTCTAAGGAAGCCTTCAGTTACGAGGCGGCACAGCTTCGCATCGACGACGACTCCCAAAAGGATGACCTGACCAACAGCATAAGAACACTGCTCGTGCTTTCCAAGAAGCTGAAGCAGAAGCGCATGGACGCTGGTGCCCTCAGCCTGTCTTCTCCGGAAGTCAAGGTCCAGATGGAGTCGGAAACTTCTGACCCCATCGACGTCAAGACGAAGCAGCACCTCGACACCATGTCTCTGGTCGAAGAGTTCATGTTGCTCGCCAACGTCAGCGTAGCCACCAAGATCTACGAAGCCTTCCCACAGACCGCCATTCTCCGTCGCCACGGCGCTCCCCCGAAGACCAACTTCGACGAGCTAGCGGATCAGCTGCGCGTCAAGAAAGGCCTCGAGCTCCGTGTCGACTCCAGCAAGGCCCTTGCCGACTCCCTCGACACCTGTGTCGACCCGGCCAACCCCTTCTTCAACACCCTCGTTCGTATCATGGCCACCCGCTGCATGATGAGCGCCGAGTACTTCTGTTCCGGCACCCAGGCCTACCCCGAATTCCGTCACTACGGTCTCGCGTCGGAGATCTACACCCACTTTACATCCCCTATCCGTCGTTATGCCGATCTCGTCGCCCATCGTCAGCTCGCGGCAGCCATCGGCTACGAGGCCATTCATCCGGCCGTCCGCAGCCGTGGTCGTCTGGAAGCCGTATGCAAGAACATCAATGTGCGTCACCGTAACGCGCAGCTCGCCGGCCGCGCAAGCATAGCGTACTACGTGGGCCAGGCCCTCAAGGGCAAGGTCGCCGAAGAGGAGGCGTTCGTCATGAAGATTTTCAGCAACGGCTTCGTGGTGCTCGTGCCAAGGTTTGGTATCGAGGGTCTCATTCGGTTGCGCGACCTGGCGGAGCCCGAGCCCGAAAGCATCTTCGACGCCGAGAACTACACTCTTACGACGTCGGGCAGCCGCAAGCTCAAGGTGGACCTGTTCCAGAAGGTCAAGGTCAAGGTCACGGATGAGAAGGACGAGGCGACGGGCAAGAGAGGTGTCAAGATGGAGCTGGTCAGCGCGTGAGAATCGTGTCTGAGGCTGAGACGTGGATAAGAATTGGCTGTTGGTGTTTTTTTTTTTTTTTGGCCCCCGGTAATGTAACGTAAAATATGTCATGCATCGAGCCGCCAATAGAGGCTCCGAAATGTCTTTTCCTATCTTTTTAAAATTGCATACCCGTCTTAGTAATTTGATTCCGAGAACCAGTGATCAGCTAGGTGGTGTCTAGAGCTGTGGTGGTCTTGTTCACAATTTCTTGCTCAACTTGATCTGGTTATGCCAATGTGCAGAGTTGATTGAGGATCCGCCGTCATGTGTCTTATCTCTTCGCTGTTTATCCGTCATACGGAACAGGTAATCTAAATCTGTGAGAACGGGGTTTTTCATGTCCCTGGGAGCACGAATAATAGGAGTAGGTTGCGCGAGTGGTTGCGCGAGTGGTTGAGCTCGGGAGAAAGCAGAATATCAGTTAACAGTGCATCCGGCGTTGAGGCTTCTGGTGCTTTTGGCATTGATGCTGCACCTTCTTGGTATCAAGGTGGGCAGAAGAACGCATTTCGTGCAAGCCAACGACTCTATTCCGCAGTTACAGCAAACACTTGGTTGCTCTTGCGAGTCAGTAGAGTTGCATGTAGGGCTACAGCTACTACTCATCAACATCAACATCCTAACGATTCTCTAACGCTCATGGCAGCAAAAACAAAAACATACAACACCAGGTATTCGCTGGTCGTCACCGACCCAACTACTAATCCGGCCCTCATTGGCTTATCTATGGGAGAGCGGACGGGATCCCGAGTTTTCCAATGGGTATGGTCGTATGTGACGGGTTGTCAAAAGGTTCTTATATAGCCTTGGAGATGCTCGGTTATGGCGGCAGTACTCGTATCTCTAGGGGTTTCCAAGTCCAGTACTGCACGTTCTTTAAAGGACCAGGTAGAAACTTGCTACATAATACGTACTACAGTAATAAGTGTACATCGTATCCCGGGCCCGTGTTTGCTAATTTGTCGCTTGTTCTCGGGCTTGCCAGTATGCTGTCACCGAACAGTATCAACATCGACGCATATACTCACGGTGGGGTGAGTGTGAAGGACAGGATTTCACATGAGCAAGCACGCCGCCGCCCCCTACAGAAGTTTCGGAGCGTAAAAGTTTACTGCAATCCTCAATTCAAAAGCGATTAAATGACTTGGTTGCCGCGCACGGGGACCTAGTCAAACTTGACTAGAACTCAGAGCGGCATTCAGCCGTTTTGCAACCAAGTAGCCCTGGCGGCCAGCCCGCGCTGTCGATGGGGGGTTCCTTAATTTAGAACGCAAAACGCCAGAAATAAACACCAAAGTCAAAAGGCTGTCTGCCTCGTATAGCGGGCGGGTTAGTTGCGGCATGTCGTTGGCGCATACTGACTGACATGGCTTGCTTGGTCTGAATGACATGTCAGGCCCCAAGGGTATATATAGGGGGTCCCAAGTCCCGTGATATCACGCCAAAGCTTTTAATTTCAGCGAAGTGAATCCGGCATGGATTGGTTTGCATGCTTCTCACAGTCCGTCGTGTTGGTAGTGGAGTAGTCATAACAGAACAGTGTAACCACTGCGTTTCGGCGACTGCAAAGCAGGCATGCAGACGAGAGCACTACGAGTCAAGAGGAGTCGATAAACATTAGACAGATGGATTTATCTTTTCCATGCCGCAATCTGAAACCACAAACTTGTAATTAGATGGAAACCCGAGTTCTTCGCTTACCCAGTGTCATCTACGACCGCCGTCTGGGCCCTTCCGGCAACGGCAACGGTACTGTCATGTGATGATTGTATGATATTGAACAATTCAGATCGGCATGAGCGCCAATATCACAAATCGCGTCAAGGGCTATCATTCCTTGTTAGGGGCAGCGCACAGGAGCTGCATGCGAGGAACGGCTTAGCGTGAAAGAAAACCAAAGAAATGACATCTTTGTATGTAATAGTTCAGCATTGAATGGCGCCTAGGAGTTCGGCGCAGTCACCAAGTTTAAGGTTGGCAAGTAAATATGTACGCCAGGGGGAAAACACTACATCTCAATCAGAAAACTCACATCAAATAAGCAAGCTGCCATTCTCTTGTGATTTGGGTTCAGAAAAAAAACTCGCAGTATCAGACAGCCTTGCATCATGACACCGGGCCGAGGCCGCTTACAACTTCACTCTATCCGGATAAACACAGCAAGGGGCATCAAAGCTTGTATCACGGCGCTGTAGCTCAAGCAAGGAGTTCGTAAAGGTGTATATGCATGTATGAATGAGGACAACGTACTACATCGTTACTCCCCCGTTTTTATTTTCCCTAGAACCGCCCCAAACGCCGGATAAATGGAAGAGCCAGCCAGGCCATGATGAAAACCACAACATCTCTACCTCTTCTGATATCACGCTCCTCTCGGTAACTATATCTGTTTCATTATACCAAGCGTTGCCTACTGCTCCATGGCGTCTTCGCCGGACGACGCGGTGAGGCCCGCAAACAAGTCGTCAATGTTGAACTCCTTGGCCCACTCCGTGACAATCGTCTTCTGATCCGGCGTGACGGAGTCATCACCCGCCGCCGCCGCGCCGGCAGCAGGTGCAGCACCGTCCTTGGCGTCGCTCTGGACGGCAAGAACAGGAGCCTCAACCCAGCCCTGGATACGTCCGTCGCGCCAGTCGGTGACCACGGTCATGGCGGCGGCGTTGATGTTGGGCACGCCGCCGCGGCCGAGACGACCGCGCTTGCGCGCAACCTGTACCAGGAAGTCGGTCGTGAGGTCGCCGTCAGTGCGGCTGCGCAGGAGAGGAGGCAGGTCGTACACATCCGTTAGCTTCTGCAGCAGGTCGGGCGTAGCAGACAGACGGCGCAGGAGAAGGGTGACGGCGGGGATCGGGTCGTCGATGTTCTTGGGCGGCACGGCGTTGAGGAGGATAAGGTGGGCGTGGGCGTCGGTCGCGTTCTTCAGAGACACGAGACCGCCGGCGGAAGAAGTGTTGGAGGCAGACGGGAAGACGATACCAGGCGAGTCGAGGAGGGTGAGCTTGCTATCGATTTTGACGGCACGAATGCTGGTGGTGACACCGGCCTCGGCACCAGCAGGGCACGCCTTGGAGGCCCCTCGGCCACCGCTCAGGCGGCCCAGAAGGGCGTTGATGACGGAGGACTTGCCAACGTTGGGGTAGCCGATAACACCGACAGACACAGCACGCTTCAACTGTCTGGTAGCAGCATACGACTTGAGCGCGCGGAACAGGTCGGCAGAAGTCTTCTGGACCGTGAGTTCCTTATGGTTGAAGGTGTGCGCGTTGGGCGCAGCGTTGGACGCGCGCAGAGGCAAGGTCGGGAAGTAGCGACGCAGATGGGCGAGCCAGCCCTGGAGGACCTTGGGAGGCACAAGATCGATCTTGTTAACGACGAGAATGAGACGCTTGCCACCGTTGGCGGCAGCCATAACGCTGCGCTCGACGTCGCGGGAGCGGGTGGACTCAGGATCACGGGCGTCGAGGACGTAGAGGATGACATCGGCTTGCTCGACGACCTGCTTGAAAACCTTGTCAAAGGCCTTGCGGGAGGTGGCATTGCCGACGGCGATCTCAGCGGGAGCATCCGAGTCGTCTGAATCATCGTCATCGTCCATCTCGTCGTCGTCATCGCGCAGGCCCTTCTCGTAGGTTTCGGCGGCGGCTCTGGCGCTCGCAAGCAGCGCAGCCATGGGGTTCGACTCGTCAACGTCCTCATCGTCCTCTACCATCATGTCATCGTCGTCACCTCCCTCGAGGTCCTCAACCATCTCATCCTCATCGGCAGCCTCGGTGGCAGTGGCGCCTGTCTTGGCCGCCTTGGCCAGCTCGCGACGCTTCTGAGCCTCCTCGGCCTTCCGCAGGCGCTTCTCCTCAATCTCTTCGAGGATCTTCTCCTTGTAGGGGAACAGGTTGGGAATTCCCGGATCCTTCTTGAGCTTGGAGCGCCATTCGGGGTTCTTCTTGGCGAGCTTTCTCTGCTTCTTCTGCTTGGCCGCCGACGCCTTCTCGATCTTGTGGCGGAGGCGGACGGGCGTCCGCTTGGACTTTGGCTCTAGGATGAGATCAGCAAGACGTTATGTTATTTGGCATTCAAGTTGCAACATACTCTTGGGCTTGTTAATTGAGCCGGCCATTTTGAAGAGAAATTGTCCGCAGGCAGGTAGTTAAGCAAGAAAGTTGCGTCGGGGGTGCTGCTGCTAAGTGCTTGCTACCAACCGCCGACAAAATTTCCTGCGTACCGGCTTTGCGGTGGCCATGCACACTTTCAAAAATTTAGTGGGAGGTCGGCTTCTGCCGCGCCTCACCGCCCGTTATCTCTATCAACCCCCACCTTTCCTTCTCACCGCCCTGATCTAGTCCTAAAGCGGAAGCACCGCCGCTATCTGGAGGGGCTCACTCTTTCAACGTATTAGATTGTTCCAGCTGTGGGCTATTACGAGTTGAGGCAATGCGTGCTGGAACCGGTGGACCACAGGCGCTCAGGAGGAATGTCGGCTGGGTTTCGACCACTGTGACGTCGTCCCAGTCCGTTGGATGAAAGGAGAGGAGGAGAAAAAAGAGCAACTGTAAGTGGACTACCGAACTTGTATATGGTCCGCCAATTGGTTTTCTCGCATTTACCGAACTCGTCAAATGCCCGCTCGTTAGTTTTCTCGCATTTACCCAACTTGTCAATGTCCGCCTAGGTAGTCTGGTTTCCTCGCATTTAGAGTCATATAGATCCACGTCCAACTCCGTCACTGCTTCATGTCAACTTCAACCAGCGTCATTTCAATGTTTCTGAGTCATACTTGAACACTTTTCTTCAACTTTGCGTAGGATACGAAACCTTACAACAACAACCCGCCACAAAAGTCTGCCTTTCTTAGTCTTCCAAACAGCCCAGTACAAGATCTCTGTTTATACAAAAGAAGAAAAAAAAGGTATGACCGCAACAACTCAAAGCGTCTAACAGTTATTGACAACTCCCCAGAAACCTTCAACATGTCGTACACAGCCCCGCCACAGCGCGTCACTTTCGACGGCTTTCTTTTTGACATGGACGGCACCATCATTGACTCAACAGAGGCCGTTGTAAAGCACTGGCAGACGTAAGTCGTCAGCATCATGATTACCTTAAAACCTGCCACTCGAGCTCCCCCTTGCATCAAGTAGAGAACCTCCCCAAACTAACACGTCGGTTTCCCCCTCCCCCCTTGCAGAGTGGGCAGTGAGATAGGAGTTGCACCCGAGGTCATCCTCGAGACGTCTCACGGCCGTCGGAGCATCGACATCTTGAAGATTCTGGCCCCTGAAAAAGCAAACTTGGAATGTGAGTACTCAGGTCTCTTTCTCCGCCTCTGTTCAGTCCCTTGCTTTCTAGCTTTGAACATCTTCCAACCGCAGGCTGGCCAAGCCATGGGGCAAGCAAGGGGTTTCCAGGGATGCTAAAGTTTTTCTCCCATCGCAGACACTCGCGAGATGGAGGGCCGCCTTCCGAAACTGTACGGCAAGGACGCCGTCGAGATCCCCGGAGCGAGGGCGCTCCTGGCCGCCCTGATCAAGGAGAAGGCTCCCTGGGCCATCGTTACGTCAGGAACCGAGCCCCTCGTCGGCGGCTGGCTCGAAGTCCTGGGTTTGCCACAGCCCGAGCACCTCGTCACGGCGGAATCCGTCGAGAACGGCAAGCCCGACCCGACCTGTTACCTGATAGGCCGTGAGAAGATCGGTTTGCAAGACCCATCCAAACAGGTCCTGGTCTTCGAGGACAGCCCGGCAGGCATCAAGTCCGGCAAAGCGGCCGGATGCAAGGTGCTGGGACTTGTCACAAGCCACACCGTTGAACAGGTTGTGAGCGCCGAGCCGGACTGGATCGTCCAAGACCTGGATTCAGTCAAGGTCGTCGAAGTCAAAGGGGGGGCCATCACCTTGGAGTTCTCCAACGCCCTGGTCCCGAAGTCTATCGCCTGAGGAATGGAGACTCTGCTAATGAACCGATAGACTGAAATATAGACTTTTTGTTGTCATGGACTCTAATATTCGCGGAGCTATTGTTTTTTTTTTTTTTTTACCCCTCTCGTTCGGCAAAGAGTCCAGACGAGGGAGATGTATGTCACCAAGGGGGTAAAGGTGCCCTAGGAATGGCTCGTCAGTGCGGAGTTGAAGAGAGACAAGAGAGTTGCATCTCATCTCATCTTGCCCTTGGGAGGAGTCTACATCATCCCAGGTAAGGATGATGAATAACATTTGAGGCAGACCAGAACACATGAACACATGAACACATTCCGCAGATCCGAAGATCCCAATTACTCACTTGGGAAAACCCTTCAAAGGACCTGATGTTCTGCTCCGGAGGGGCCGAGCAGCAGTATGTAACAAGCAAAAATGCAAAGGTACTTTCCAGATGAACCTTACCTGGAGTAAACCGAGGATAACCCCTCCAGTCCCAGGAACCAAGACCTGTCTCCGCGATCTGGAGACAACATGCGCCATCTGTTTGTTTCGTGTCTTCAACTGGTGTGACCTTTGGTATCTAAGTATATGCACACAGCTCTGGCTGAGTCTATGATCCATGAGCCTCTCTCATTTGGTTGTCTCGCAAACAATTCACAAGACATTTCTGAGATGTCGTCGGTTTACATCATACAGTACATGTGGAGTAGGTAGTTTGAGCCCCAGAATGGCGTTGGCGAACCAGTTTGGGGAAAGAAAGAAAAAAAAAAATCGATTGTCAGACAGAGAGCCGTCTGGTCAAATCCTTCCCCCCCCCCCTCTTCTTGATTCTCGACTTCGCCGAGCAAAGACAGATAGTGTCACCCTTTTTCTGAGTCGGATCCAAAAAAGAATCAGCCCGTAATACGCCAACCCAATCGTCTTCCGAAGCGAGAAACAAGGGCAAAAGAAGTAAATCTCAACACTGAGGCCGTTTCAAAGTCGAAAAAAAAAAAGTCGTATAGGGAAGTGTGTGATACCTTACTGATTCACTCCGGATGCCTCTTTGGTCTAAACTTGGATTAAAAAAAAAAAAAAAGCTGAAGGGTACCGGTACCGTGGTTGTGGCGCAACTTTGCATACCTGCAACATGGCTCTAGTCGACACATACGGGCAGATAACCTGTTGGGGCGGGATACAATGGTAGTTAAAACTGTGCTGCAAGGTCCCGGGCATACGAACATACGTTGCTCATTGACATGGGGCTTCCTTGTTGGTGGCTCCGAGCTGCCTGCAGTTTAGCAGCTCGCAATTATACAGGCGCATGTTGTGAAATGAGGCAAAATCCATATCCAGAAACAGCATCTTGCAGCAGGCCTGGGAAACATCTCACACGCCCTTGCATCGAGATGTCACTCAGCCCGGGCAATATGTGTAACGGCTTGTATGGGTTTGACCCCGGATCATCAATGGGAAGGCAGCGGAAGTCTTCCTCCCTGTCATGGATCTTTTTGCCATCTTCAACGCTTCTCTGGTTGAAGGGTAGCACAAAGGAACTCCCAGTGTCTTCCGAGACAACATTTTGGCGGGCTCTTACTATAACACTGTGGCAAGTAGGTGATAGCAGACTTGTAGGGCCCGGCGACAGCTGTGCCTATGGTAGCGGTGGATGCCTCACGATGCCATTCGGAAATGTGTCACGGCAGACGCCAACTTTCGTATGGGAGCCTGCAGAAACAGCCGTACAAACTAAGCCAACATAGGCTCTGACCGCGAATGAAATTTTTTTTCTCGGGGGGAAATACTTGGAACCACTGCGGCTTGGTTGGCTCAAGTGAGAGGAGCAGCTGGAGTTGCTTGACATCAAACCCTTTTAGGGGGGCAATCCCATCGGCAGTTGCTGAATGCTGCAGGCACTCATTTTCGGCAAGGTTGCCAGCTACCTGGTGCACCAGTGGCTGTGGAGGCGACCATGCTAAGCAAAACGCCAGCAACCTCACAGCTGAGCATCGGCTGGTCGTCGTCAAAGCCCAGACGGCACTCATCTACACAATTCTAATCACCATGACACGGGCACCGAACCATCAAGTCCGTCCGTCGCTTGAGTGACAGAACAACGAGCGGCAGTTCCATCTGGCTGGGTGGAGGCTTCCATGTGGCTCGATTAGGGGCGGACTAGAGACGGCTGATGGAAATTTGGGCGCTCAAAGCCAGGCCAGGCTGTTGGCGCGCTGTCAGGAAAATAAAAATGAAAATGAAAATTAAACTCACGTTGTTCCTGGCGACGGCGGCCTCTATCTCGTCCCCGAGCTCATTCGTTACGGCATCACGAAATTCGGCACTGGGTGGATGGCCTGGCGATATCCGTCAACCGGGGGCGTTCTGGTTGGTACCTTGCATGATGCGTTCTCCGTACCACACCTATGTAGTGTGTTCCGTTCGGGGACTCAATCGGGAAACCTGACTCGAGTTGACCATGGCCGACCATGTTGCGAGGCTGTGCTAACACAAGCGAGCGAGATTGAAATTGTGCCGTCGTAGAGATGGGGCATCTGGGTGGAAACAGACTCGCGCGCCAGCCCGGTCAGTAGCGGATGTACTACATAACGTAGCACGCGTATTGAAGCTCCCTTTTACGGCCGTGACAAAGACCCTTGATCGAGTTTAATGAGCCAGGCGTAGGCTGCGGCTTGTGCGCAGGGGAAAGAAAGAATACCCAACAGCGGTCCCCCCTTGCCGGTAAAAAAACGAGCTTGCTCTCTCCACAATGCAGGGGCAGGGTCGGCATCCCGTCAGTCGTCACCTTCGGCGCCGCACGTGGCCGCCGGGGCCCAACTTTGGTTCCAATCTCCCGTTTACCACTGTTCCCACACTTGATCTGGATGGAATGCTCCATGTGGTGTTCTTGTATCAATTGTCCGGCCAGATAAGCCTCTCTGTGCCTCGTAATTCGTCATTGCGTCAGACGCAGGTGAGAAATGGTGGTTCGCAGCAATGGGAATAAGTAAGAAATGGAAAAATACTACTACTACTACTACTACTACTACTACTACTACTACTACTACTACTACTACTACTACTACTACTACTACTACTACTACTACTACTACTACTACTACTACTACTACTACTACTACTACTACTACTACTACTACTACTACTACTACTACTACTACTACTACTACTACTACTACTACTACTAATAATAATAATAATAATAATAACAACAACAACAACAATTATTATTATTGGAGGCCCTGCTTGTGAGTGTCATCGACGCAGTCTGTGGCATCCCCATTCTGAGGTCTGAATGCCCCTTCCTCGCCTTTGCAGTGTTGTCGTATATTCATCAACAAGTGCTTCATTCCTCTGCACACAGCTGATTCCACGTGACCCTATCCAGTGAGTAACTCATACATATACATAGCATATCTTTGTCCTTCCATCTATATAAATCAAACAAACATGGCATGTTCCACGGAAGTGCCGTAGGCTTCACTGGTGTTGCGCCGTAATGACCGGCGCTGATCTCCGGTGCTCTTTAGCACCGTGCTAGGGTACTTTGACCGCTGCCCGCATTCCAGAAGGTCGGCGCTTGTCATACCCCGAACTGCACTCTACAGATGATGGGTTTTTCTCCTGTAGTCCAGAAGGATCTTCTTGCTGAAAATTAAATAAATACTAATAATCGGGTATCCATCCTTTGGTGGAATCGGCTGTTCATCATGAGAGGGTGAAATGTGGCGACCCCCTCCAGATTCATCCAGGGAGCCATGCGCCCTGTTGACTGGGAGTCACCCAAAATAGAAGGGATTGTACTCGGAAACCTCCCTTCTCGCGGAGCCCTGTTGGTACCAGGTTGTGCTGAATATCATCTCCCAGGGAAGATTCTTTGCGTCTTCAGGGTCGGTAGAGCAGCCGGGGTGCATCGACAGCCTAGCATCTGACGCCGCAGTATCCGTACTACCCGGCTCAAGATCCGTCATTTCTGAAGGCTTAGGGTACCATGGAGCTGGGAGGAGAGAAGATTCCGCTCCCGCCCTCGCCGTGTAAATCCGAGAGAGGCGGCGCACTAGGTAAGCGGCGAACCCACTACAAATCTTGCAAATCTTGACGAGGGGTCCCAAAAGGGCAGAAAAATGCCAGGAGACGGGGTTCCCGCACCACCGCACCTAGCTGCGGTCCCGTTCATGGCATTGCAAGAAAGGCACCGGTGGCATTCACGGATTTTTTTTTTTTTTTTTCAACTTCCTTCTTTCTTTCACACCGGTGGGGGAGGGGGGGTTTGCCTCTCGATGTCAGCCCATCTACATCACCACAAGCGTTTTCGAATGACTCGAAGGTGGAACTGTGATACCATATTGAACGCCGCCAACCGCTGCCACCTAATGTCAGCTGGTAGTTCAATAAACCAGCCCGGAGGAAATGGAAATGAAAGCGTGCCCCCAGATTGTTCGCTTCGATTAGGCCCAGTGTGAGAGCTTCATGTATCAAAGCCTCCGCCAACCGTCGTACGCCATCCAATCAAACTCAATGTTTGCGCCAAGCTTTCGGAACGACTAAGACAATGGCTGCTTTGGCTGACTTGGAAAATCTAGCGCGCCCAATGTCCACATAGCTTTTCAAGAGACTTCAACCGCCGTTACCTTGTTGTTCCCGAGGTCATGGTATGTTGAGAACAAAGGGCCGTTGGGTCCTCAAAGAAAGGCTCTACGATGGGTTTTGAGGGGAAACGAGTCTGTTAGAAAGTAATTTTGAGTGTAGAAATCTTGAGACACAGACTTGTACCTGGGAGAAGAACAGCATGATCTCTGCAGATTTGTGAATCGCCCGCCTGAAGTTTTACGGTCCACCAAAATGGTGGCCATATCATCGTCGTCGTTGATGTCGTCTCACCTCTAATTAACCCTACCGAGTATTTGGTGTAACGACAGCTTGATACAACTGGGGAAATGGGACCCACCATGAGAGCACCGGAGGGAGGCAGGCTTCGCTGGTGAGGTTACAACGCCTGCGGATGAGCGCCGGTCCGAAAGATACCCCACGCCACTATTATTCTACCCTAGATGTTTGGTGCAGCTATGTGTACAGCAGAGGTGGTGTAGACAAGGGCCAGAAAGCGCCGACAGTGAAGCGAGACGACGGCAGCCCAACTCCATTAGGGAGGTAATTGAACCCTTCAAGGTCGCGGTGTCCATCGCCGCCTTTGCCGTCCTCGCTATCGCGTGGCCTGAGGTAGATGTACTCGGTCAGCTGCAGTCAGATGTTCTGGCTCGGTCGATGAGGAGCTCCATTTGCGCCTCCGGGAGTTGTTCTTTGCCTCTCGTGGTGGTGCAAGAGCCTGCAGCACCGCATCATCAGGCCATGCAAGTCCATGAATGGCTTGCCGAATTTGTCGCATTAAGTTTTTCACATTGATTCTCAGACCTAAGAGCAATGTGAAGCTAACACCATGAGCCAACAGATTGGATCTTGTCGCGACAGCACTGCAGCCTAGAGATCGACATGGGGAAACACCTGGACCCAGCAAACAGGCCTTGCTTTCTGTCGAATGCGGTTCATCCAGAAAATTCAACGCTTACTACAGCAAGAGATGAGCAGCTAATATTTTTCATTGTGGCCTTTGGGGTGATCGTCAAGGTTTAAGCCTGTTGGAAGCGGCAAGATCATGCGGGGCAACAGGCGTAGAGTATCAGACTGAGCCGGACGAAAGATGGGCTGAGCTGTGACCACACCCAACGACATGCAACATGACGAAAGGCATTGCTTGCGTGGCTGGCAAGCTACTTGCACTACAGCTCAGTGCACCGTCTCTCAGGTGTCCCATACTGAAATGGGGGCGACTGATCCAGGCGCAAATATAGCAGCGAGCACGATTGCCTCTAAGCAAGGGCTCCTTATGATGTACATCTTGAAACGCCCACGACACAACCTATGAATGCACACCTTGCCTGGTTAAATACCATAATGCTGAGATGGGCAAGCCGAATATCAACGGAATTTCTTGCAAGTATATATGACCAGTCGACAAATGGTCCATATTTGTCACCAAAACACAAACAACCGCATCGGTAACTCATAGCTTCTGAAGTTGGAAAGCGTCAATATGACATCAAGTCGTAGGCTTGAAGCTCACCTGTCTTTGTTGTGTTAGTTGTCTCCTAACCTGTCAGAATCATAAGCACACCTAGAATGAAAGCCCGACCAGGACTGCGCATACAAGCCTTGACACTTTCGAATACATGGCCTGCAGGAACCAGACTCCAACGAGTCGGCGTGAAGGATGGAGTCACCGACTCGCTGTTCAATTTTGGTAATATGTGACAAGGCGGCAGACTTCCGCGGGCTGCAGATCGTAAGCCACTCGAGTGTCATCAATGCGCAGCCCGTCACAGTACACTGACGCTTACATTTTGCTCCCGTCTTGTCAGCAGCGGGATCCCGCTCTGTGATATTTGTCGTGCATGCAAGACCAATACCAGCCAGTAAGGTGCGCAGCCTACGAGACTAGCCTGCTAGCTTTGCGAATCGGTGAAAGCTCCAGAAATAGCAGCCCTGGGGGACCCTAACATCATTGTTTCCAAGCAACGTGAAGAAAATGTCTCCCTACGAAGGAAAATTGTCTAGCATTAGGTTGAAGATGGTTAACCGACGTAGGTATCCGTCGTCGGCGAAGGTTATCTTGAGCTTGTTCGCTGTTAAAGGAAACATGGGCATTGAGCCTGCTAGAAGATGTTAAGAGACGGAGAAATAGAGAAGAAAATCTCCCGTGGTGTATCCACGCTAAGCCTGAAATGGGGGTGTAAGCCGTCGCCCGGCTGTAGGCTCTCGCGCTGTTCCGATCTCTGTGTCCTTTCGGGGTCTTTGCTGGTTGATGATCGACGTCGAGGAACCAGCTTGGCGGCAGCTTCAGTTCTGTAAACGACGCGTCCCTGTGATCTCAGTGGTCGCTACTGGTCTTTTCGGAGTGTGGTCAAAATTGTAGATAGTGTACGAGTATGCCTTTTCTAAAGAGGTATGGTTTTGTGCCGCACTTGAAGCGGCAGAGCGAAGCCTGTCACATTGTTTTTTTTTTCCTGTTGTGCGGTTCTTATACGGCCGAGAATAATCGACTAGGCTAGGAAGGTACATAGTACGGGCTCCGTAGACCTGCTGGCGAGGAGGTGACACTGGTGTAAGCTGCAGCGCAAGGATTGAAATTCGGGCCATTGCCTATGATGCCGTACACTCTAATACTCGCCAGCCAAAAGAATGTAAGGACGCGTCGAATGTATGTCTACTGCAGTATCACGAAACCGCGGGTGCATTTGTGCTGCTGGGGACACAGCATGTTGATGAACACAGAGCAGTATAGCCTAGATATCACGGATATCATGGGAGTTGTCAGTGCCGGAATTGTTACCGTCCTGACATCGTAAGCGCTCGCACACCTATTTCCCCCTCCTTATCCTTGGGTTGGGGCAACGATGAACATTAGTATAAGCCGATGGAACAGAGGTGTTCTTGGTTGATGCCCCATTGGCCCTGCAGTGTGGGTGCCGAGATGGAAAAACGGGCGAGCATCATGACCCTTTCGGAGCGTCGGATGGCCCACATACACACCCATTCTGCGTCTCCTCAACTCCCGCCTTTGCTCCTTCGGTTAATTAATGACTGCAGGCAGTTCGAAGTAGGCAACAGTGGCAGAATAATGTGGTGGATATGATTTGCGAATGCCTAATCGGTGCACAACTTCTGATGCAGCAGATAATTTGGCTTACTACGCAGGAGCATGTGTCCTCACCCGCCTTTGACTTGCAGCAGCGGCAACGGCAGCGATGACAGCTGGTGACTGGCCGCAAACCTAAAGGCGCCGAGTCGAAAGCTGGGTAGGTCACTGCCCGAATAGGTATAGGTTTCCAGTTCTTCTTCTGCAAAGTTTAGCCCAGCTTGCTAGCCAACGCACGCCGAGTGAGACACAAAAAATCCAGGGGGGGGATCATTTGGGCTAGTCTGCGGGAACAGCGGCTGGTACCTAGCCTTGGAGGGCGCGGTAAGGAGGCTGGACATCTTCTTCTGGGTACCTTGGGCCAGCAGTTGGACCTGTTTGAGCAATGCGTCGACAAGCCAGGCAAGGCCGAGTCAACGTGTGGTGATGATGTTACCCTTTTTGTCATAGCTGGCCGCCGATAACGGGGATGATGATGATCTTTGCAGGCCAGGC